CCACTAGTAGTTCAATCTTGGACAATCCATATCTCCTTCTGAAGTCTCTTGAGCATTTCACTCCAAGAAAGGTAGTTTCGTCGGGGAATCTCAAATATATGGAAGCTGAACTGCATTTTCAAGGCAGTGAATTTCAAAATCCTCTTCCTTTCATCTCTGGGCTGCCTGTTGGTTTATCTTTAGACATCAAACTCCATAACATCTTGAGCGAGAGTAGGTTGTGGATAAAAATGAGCTGCGAAGAGAAACTAACTCAATTTGTTTTCCTGGATTTGTATGAGATCGAAGTAGACGATGAAGTGAGGAAATTCACATTTATTGCACCCTTCTACCAAACCCCCAAGGCAAACTGTTTCTCATTGAAGATCTGTATTGTTCTAGAGTGCATATCTGACGGTGATCAGTTGTTCAGGGGCTGTGGAGGTCCTAAGCATGAAGTTGTCCATCTTTGTGAAGAAAAAGAAGTGTATTTTTCCGTTCAAGTTAGGTAATGGTGTTTCAATTGATCAAGTGTGATCCAAAGACAGCTATAGTTTTTCTAAATTACGGTGCTCATTGTCAAATGCTGGTACAATCAGTTGCTGGATTTATACAATTTTCTCCTTATCAAGTAGTAATGACCATGGACTACCCATAGAACCGAGAGTTCTAAGCAAGTAGAGTGATTAGTTCAATGTGAGCAGGTTGCAGAGCAGGAGTAGGAGTAGCAAGGCACATGGGCTAATATGCCAAGTGAAGTGCAGAACTTCAGAAATTGAACATGCTTAAACTGGTTTTCATTTTGATCATCTCGGTATCGAGTACATTGTTCTGAGTTTTAGCTATTAAAGGATCCCATGTTGTATAGTGTATACATGAAGTTGAAACTGGCATGTAGCTTTTCGAGAATGGATGGATTATGAGATGAGTTTGTAAAGGAAAAAGAACAAGAAAATATATTGTGCAGCTCCAATATTTGTCCAAAAGAACTTTTGCTAATGAGCTTTATGCCTGATACTCTTATATAGTACTCCATCCATTTCAATTTATGTGAACCTATTGGATTGCTACATACTTTAAGAAAGAAGGAAGATTTTCAAAACTTATGATGTCAAAGCATGGGTGTTACAACACTTCTGAAAATTGTAGTTTAAAATATTTCTTGTTGTTGGTGTAACGATAAATACAGAAAATTGTTTCTGTATTTAGAAAGGCATCATTAAATTATTTCAAAATTTAGATTACGACGTTGATTGGGGAAGGGATTGGTGATTTGCTTATTTGAACTTGGACAATTTTTCCTTCATGAGCTATCTTTTGAGGTTGAGTTAGATTCAAGCGTATCTTTTAATTTTATAATTGAATACAACGATTATGTTTCAATCTCAAACAAATTGGATCACCTATATGAATATTTCATTGATAGTATCTTTTCATGTAGCTCAACTCCTGTCACCATTGTACTAAAATTAATGTCACACTACATGATGGAAGAAACAAAATGCCTTGTTATTTCCATGTTTTAAGAGCTAGACAAGACTATAGTGAAGAGGCAATTGGCAATATCATATAATATAATAAGTTTACTAGTATTTTGTAATTGCCTCATGGTACTCCAAACTGTTGCATAGCTCAGAAATAGAGAGAGGAAAATTATAATTAGCTTTGGATTATATCGATGGAGGGCATGTGTGACAATAATGAATTAAGGGGTCATTAGTTAATATCGATGGAGGGCATGCATGTACACAGATTTTACCCTTATTTTGTGGAGGTAGAGGGATTGATTTCAAAAAATTCCTCGGTTCAAATAATTCATATCATAACAAATTTAAAAAGAAAAAGAAAATAAAATTTATGATCAAGATATCGAGAAAATGTTCTAAGCATATATATAAAAAACAAATAATAATCACAACAAAATAAAACAATAACCAAAGCACAATAAACACATAATTAGCAAAACACAAAACTATTAGAATAGTGTTAATACTACTCAGAAGCAAAGAGAAACCTATCTCGCTGGACAACAAAACGATGCAACAGTTTTAAACCCAACATTATTATCAAATGTATTGTTATAAAACAAGATTCTTACATATCCTTCAGATCTCGAAGCATCCTATAAGTAAAAATCAACTATTTTTAAAAAAAGAAAAAAGTATAAAGAAAGGAGTAGAAAAAAAGTAAAACAAATTTCTTGAATCGAGTATTGGCTTTGAGCCCCACGGCCATATTTGCTTTTATTTGGTCCATTTTTCCATTCATTATTTTTTGGTCCCATTCTATACATCTTTATCTTGGGCCCCCAACTCCACTTGGAATAAAGAAAAAAAAGATCTGCATATACTTTATGAAAAATTGTATGAAATAACAAATTATTAATTCAAATTAAATGTTATAGTCATAGTTTATTTTATTTGTAATTCATAGCAAACATCCTATTTTTTTGCCATCTGATTCGGTATACAATTAGCTATTTTCGGTATACAAATGTATTAAATGTGTTTGTGTTTGTATAGAGCGAGAGAAAAGTGTATATACAAATACAAATACATATATTTTCATCTTATACACTTATAATTATACAAATACAGATCTTATTATACAAATTACAATGTTAAAATGAATTTATAAAAAAACTGAACAATTTGTATAAAATTGAATGTATCTAGCGAATTATACAAATCAAAAGCTCCATAGCAAACATAAAATTTGCTATGGAGCGCAATTATTTAAACTATAGCTATAACATACAAATATGATTTTTATATTTGCTATATGTGAAAATTGCTCTATACTTTATCCTAATCAGACTTTAAAAATGAGGTAAGAGAAAAGGATTACAAAGTAGAAATTGAACCTCCACCAATGAAGTGAAAATTCAGCTAACTAATTAATTAACCTATTATGAGACTACACTAAGTAATCGGTTGTTGTTATATTATAAAATTTATGGTATAAAGACTTGGGCATTTGTATAGCTTAAAATACAAATTTTGAGACTAACTTATTTCTAAAAAATATATAAAAAGATAACAGTTTTTCCTGAGATAAATTTAAAAGAAAAATATCCCCCATGAATTGTGATAGAGGAAGTACAACTATTTATTACTCTCGACTTGAAAGTAATACTACTATTCAAAAGGTTTGATAATGAAACGGAAAAAAACAACCACCACCACACTTGGATCCTTATACATTGTTTGGCGTGAGGTATAAGATATAACAATTTTAAGAAAAAAATATAATATTATTTTATCTTGTATTTGATTAAACGTATTAGACAATTTTGAGATTATTTATCTTATCATTTTCAGTGATGATTATCTCAGAATAACTAATTATCTCAAGATAATTAATCTCGAGATAACTTGATCCTAAGTGTATCACAGTAACTCATCAAGTGTTTTTCTTTTCTTTTTCCCGAAAAACAAAAATAAAAATAAATTGTTGGCCAAACATTATGCTTTCTCGCTTCTTTATTTTATTATATTTGGGTTCATTGGTTTTTGTAAATTGCTACCCTGTGTCACTGTGAGGTTCAGTTCAGTATACTCAGCAATGACTATAGGCACCCAGATCCAAGAAATATTTAACAGATAAATATCAGAAAATAATAGAACCCCATTATAAAATGAAGTAACAATATTTATTTATTTTTTAAATAAACAAGATGACAAATTTATGAACAAACAATTCACACGTTGCTGTTACACTTTTGATTAGATTACCAACTTAGTAGGCTGATTTCAAGGGGGACACCCAAAAAATTATGTCTATCTGACAACTTCATCATATCTTTACATATACTTGCATTTTAATAATAAAACTTCACTACCAAGACTCCAAAAGTACTGTGATGTGGTAGAAATTTTAAATTCGAATCTTGAAAATGAAAAAATAGAGAAAAACTATAGTGTTTGGTATGAAGGAAAATGTTTCATGAAAAATATTTTACTTGAAAAATAAGTAGGTTTCTTGCTTATATTCTAGTGAATGATAAGTAAGCAAAAACATATTATTCGAAGAGCATTTATATATTATCTAGCAAAATACTATGAGGTGAATTGAGGTAGGGAGGGTGGCGGGAGTTCGGATGGTGAATGGATGGGATTTGAGGAAGTTCGGTAGGTGGGGAAGAGACGAATGATAATGAATTTTGACTATAACTTACGGAATTTGTTTTCTTTACTTTCATTAGTAAAGTCATTTTCCTCACTAAACTTGTTTTTCGAGAGAACGTTTTCCAAAATATTTTGACCAACCAAACACGAGAAAATTGGACAAAGACACCCTAATATTCAACTGATTTTCCTCTTGTCTCTTACCTTGCATAACCCCCAACAGCTCACCAGCACAATAAACAGTGGAAAGTGTAGAAAAGTAGGTTAGTCATACCTGCTAGCTGCTAACCTTCTGTCAGTTTTTGTCATCATATAAGAGAGAAACATATATCTGAATCTTAATGTTTGCTTTAACCTGCATGCACATGCAAAGACAGTGGTGAAAGGATCATTTTCTGCATTATATAGTCCATTGATCCAGTTATTACATGTGTACCTGAAGGTAAATCAGAACAAAAAGAGCCAAAAGGGTATCTTCTTACAGCCTAATAATGACTAAAGGGGAGAAAGAACAGAAGATATTTCATCATTTTGAGTAGAATTATTATGAAAGATATCAAGGGGATCCAAATCCATAAAAGCTCAAGACTTTGTCTTTACTCTCAAGCTTTTAAGTGTAAAAAAAGAACCCCACAAGGTGTAAATAAAGCTTTTGGTAAATTCCCTGATTTGTGGTCAATTTGAAACAAAAGATAGAGAGAGACACTCTGAAATGCTAAAGTAGAGTGGAGAAAGCACATTACATTATTCACTTGCACTACTGTTTCAGCAGCAGAGTCTTCAACCAGAACTCAGATTTGAACTGCAATGGTCACATAAGCCTATGAGCAAAAGCACCAACGAACCCTGTCTAATGTTCTCAAAATTAGGCCATGTAATATATATTACAAAAGAGACAGAACAGTAAGAATATATTTCCACTTAGAAGGGAATACATTTATTCATCTGCTGAGAATGTTGACCTCAATGCAATAATGCAAATAATTTGCTATACATACAGAAAATATTCCTCTTCCCACCACTAGATAAAAGTACAAAACTGAAAAAATTCCACATATCTACAACATAGCAAAAAATCAAGGGGAAAAGCCAACTAGCTGAAAGGAGCCTATGACCAAAAATGCGCCCTTTCTCTTTCATCCTTGCCCAGAACGAAAGTAAGAATAGCCAAAGAAAAAAAAAGAAAATAAGTACTAGTATTCAGTTATCTGTAAGTTGTTTCCTACTTAATAGAATAAGAACGGGTGCATACAGCCTCAAGGGCCTCTGTCATTAAGGAAGAAAAGCTGGTCATAGCTTGGAAAACTCCCGGAAGCCCTGTCTGAATGTTGTTCAGAGTCATTGCTCTGGTTACCTCCACTGCTTTAGAATGCTTCACCATCTCATCTTCCACACGCCGTTGGCTAGCTGCAAGCTCAGCCTTTTTCTCAGCAAGAGGGTCCCGTGCATCTAAAACATTACCATTATCAGGTCCCACATCAGGAAGTCCAATGCCAACCATGGAGTAAGAATTGTAATACTTCCTTTCAATGCTCCTAACACTCGAAGCCTTTTTCTCAAGCTCCTTCGATGCAGATTCAGTCCGCTTTTTTATCTTCAGCTCCTCCGTTTGTTTCGCATATATCGAATGAACAACATTTATGAAGCTTTTGATAGCTTCTGATGCAACAGTGTCAGGAATACGGTCAAGCGCTAGCTTCCATTCATCGCAAAACATAAATGAATCTGAGAACTCCCTGTTGCCATTAGTTGGCTCAGTATTGACAGACACAAGGGTGAGCTTGAACCAACCATGAAGGGACTGGATAAAGTCCCTTTGAAATTTTATCAGGCGACAATAACTCGAGTGCCATGCAGATACAGCAGACTCAAGGTCACGTGTTGCCTGCCGGTGTAGGTCAGATGTCGATTGACCATTAATTTCTCTATTGATGAGGCCACGCACCTGCTGCACAATGTCATTCTGAACTTGATGGAACTGGTTCATGGATTTCCACATGTACATAAATCTGCATCAGTTTATACCAATATCAGTTGAGGACTAGTCAGGGGTAAACAGTAAACACTTTATTATCAGCCCCATTTCAAACTCAAAACATAAGCATATACAAACTATCTATTAATCTATAAGTAGAAGAGCACATATCTTCACAACAATCATCTTAGTGATTGCCAAAATTCCAGATTGAGCTTTATCAATACTGACAGGCCTAAGAACCATCACTATATTTAGCCATCAATTAGACAATTACACACATCAAAGCCCAGGAGATATTCCAAATTTCAAAAATAGTGATTCCATCATGGCCACAATCTCTCCTGGAGAGGCTGTCAGACTCTAGAAAGATGCTCCGTGGACATCCTTTCATGGTCAGGAAGACAAAAGGCAAACATTTAAAGATCCATACGTTTTCAGCTACCCACTGAAACAGACAAATATTAACACCAACACATTTTACATGTGAGAGCATGACTTTAGGAGAGATCAATATCAGGTAGGATATGTTGAGCCTATTCAATTCAATTGCAAGGAAATAAGTCTTGAGACAGCACATAATTACATGGGTGATTTAGGTTCTGGAAATGATTTCCAAAAGAAAAGAATAACTTGGAAGAAATTCCGGAAAGGAAGTAACCAGATTTCTTCAATCTCATAATGGTAGAAGGTTGGCTCCAATAAGTTGAGTTTCCTCTAAGCAGTATTGCAACATAGTATCATTTCAACCTATAACCCATGCATGTGTCCACCAGCAAGTAATCTGAATAAAATTGGTTGTCAACAAATTTCAAATCAAGTATTCACAAACACAAGGGCTTACCCATGACAAAGTTCAACAAGCTGTGGGACAAGGTCAGAGTCTCTTAGACCAATAATGGCAGAGGACGTGGTGGAAACAGCCTGTGATGTGACCACCATCAGTGACTGCAACCTCGTTATTGAAGCCTTAGTTTTGTCCAACTTGGCTACGTCATCACTTCTGCTTTCCTGACTCTGTAATGTTGCTAACTTCTTTTCATGCTCAATTTTAACTCCTTCCCTGGCCTACATTTACAGTACTCAGATTAAACAAACGTGTGGGGCTAAAGCATCGTGCAAGGAAGTAGTCGCTCAAGTTGCCCAACTTTTCTTCAATTTTTTCCCCGAATAGTTTGAATTCAATGTCATTGCAATATAACCAAAAAACATAAAAATGAACACATGATGAACTTACTACTGCAAGAGCAAGACACTAGGAAAATCAAAATCAAATAGATGCGGGTCACCAATAAATAGACAAGCAGCGAACACGTATATGCAGCTACATGCAAACAGTTTATAATCATGTCCAGACGAGTTCCTGTCTATATGGAGTTGAAAGGATCTTAAAATTGCGCACAATTCCAATGCTACTTCTCTATTCTGCACTAAAACCCACAAAAAGAAGCAGAAGTCTATGAAAATAAGGCTTATAGTGTTGAAGATATAGTTAATTAAATAAAAGTGTGTTCTCTTTAATAAGTTAATCTTTTAGATGATATATAATTAATTAAATAAAAGTGTATTCTCTCTAATAACTTAAACTTAAGTTTTAGAGAGATGGTCACACACTTCAGCATATATGACCAGAATGTAGATATAAGTGATTTGAATAGGTTAGTTTTAAGGCAGGCAGGGAAACCTGCATGTTCTATATCGAAATCTAATAATAGCTCAAAGTTGTCCATGTCAAGTGATGTAACTACCTGGGGTACTTTAGTAATTACACCATTATTGACTAAATTGAGTGCAAACAAGTTAGATTACACAAGTCTTTGGATGAGCATGACCCGACTGATTTTCACATGTCTATCTACCATAACATTTATAAGATCCCAACCGAAAACCTGGCACTCTGTCGCTCTACTTAAATATCAATATCCCATCACAATAATTGAGTATAGTTTACCCAATTCTTGATTGAATTGGAGTGGATTTAACTACAGCTTTTTATCTTTGCAGACAACCAGTTAACCGACCGAGATGATGATTGCAAAAGACCAATTGGTATAAAACACAAAAAAGTAAATATTTCTTGAAGACTAAGAGCAAGTGGAATTGAGAAGAGCACCTTCACTTCCTGATACAGTTTCTTTTCCCATGCCAAGAGTCGCTCCAAGGTGGAACAAAGACTCTTTTGGCCACCTTCATCAATAGAACTAGGTTCAAAACGATACTTGACCGCCAATGGAGGTTTTGAAGACCAGGTGGAGCTTATGGTGCTAAATACTCCACTGGAATGATACACAGTTTCTGCAATGCACGGAAAAAACAATATTAAATCCTAAACAAAGAATCAAAAAATTTCAACAAAATTTGCTCAACTGGATTGCAAGGTGAAGATAAGTCAATGTCAATCAACTAAACCTCAACCTCAAAATAGTTGTAGCAAATGATATGAATCATCTTGATTGGTCAAAATTTGACTAATTTTACCATGAGTATCAAGTAACCACAACTCTACTCCTTTATCCAAACCTGGAACTGGCTATGCTAAGCTCACATAAGTGTATTCACATATGCATCACAGAAAACATACAACACCCACTAATTGCTATGTTATGATCAAAAAGCACAGATAAAGCAATAAAAAATCAAAATTTACAGTCCACAAAAATGAAGATTCCAAAAACAAAAAGACTCACTCTTCAACTGCTTAAAGCTCCGGTCAAGCTGTGCTCGACCTGTCTCCAACATCTCAGACACCTGCTCACCAGCAGAAGCAGTCTTATCAAAGTATTCCTTAATGGCAGCAACAATCTCTGCTAGATCCTTGTGCCTAACCACCATACTTCTATCAGATACCATCTCCACTTTCCCATTTCCGTTCCCCCAACTCATCGAAGACGACCCACCGTCCTCTGACATCTTATCAGATTTCTTCACTGAGAAATTCTTTGAATTCACATTAATATTAGAACCTTCCTCATTCTTCACGGAAGCAGTAGACCCGAAATTCGACCGGGATGGCCCATACCCAGATCTTATCTCATCCTTTTCCTCTACTTCTTCTTCTTCATCATCATCATCATCAGATGAAGTTGTAGTACTGTAATGATCATGATCTCCCCACTCGCTGCACTGTACTTCTTCTCTCTCAGCTTCACTTTCCCAGTTATTCAAATGGTGGGCTGCATAGTTCTGCTTGTTTTCACCAACCTTTTTCTGATTCCGGACAGACCCATTTGCCAATTTCTCATCGTTAACGCTATCAGTATCGAAAAAGTCAAATTGCTTGTTCGATTTCCCATGAAGTGATTGGTCACTAGGATGATGTTGGTGCTGATGCTGATGATGATGTTGAGAGTATTGTGAATGAGATGTGTAGTTTGATGCCTTATCATCCTCATCATCCTCCAGATCAGCTTCCCGAGAAAAATTGTTCTTATTGTGGACGCGTTCGAAGTACTCTGAACTTGGAGGGGAAGGAGGGTAGAAATTTTCCCAGTTCCAAACAGAGGAAGCTTGTGAAGGAGTACTAGAATACGTCGAATTTGCTTTCGCATCGTATGTATAATCCTCATTATATGAATTCAAACTTGACCCAGAAAGAATGTGTGGAAGCTTCAGGGGTTTTTTCTGCTGCACCGGGGGCTGACGCTGATGAGAGGAAACAGAGGAGGCAGAAAGTATATGAGGAAGCTTTGAAGAAGCTATCGTCGGTGACGGCGACGGAAAAAACGGCGGTGGGGGTGGTGGTGGGTGAAGAGAAGGAGAAGGAGATGGGATACGAATAGGGGGTGGGGGTGGAGGGGTTTTGATGGTAGTAGCAGCAGTAGTAGAAAAAGACGTACGGAGGAGAACAGCTGGAGTATGATCAGAAACAGAAAGTGGTTCACCGGCGGCAAAGGTAGATAAAGCAGAACCGGTAACACGAAGTGAACGGCAGTAATCAGAATGAGCTGCTGCTAAGTGATGACGAGCATAAACAGCTTCTTTCATCAATCGCCGGCGGTCTTTACACCGCCGGACAGTATCTTCGTTATCTAGCTTCGACGCCGCGCAACCCATCGGTAAATATAAAAAAAAAATCAAGTGGGTCTCCGCCGTTAACAGTGGTTATTGCGGCGGTGCAGTAAGTGGTGTTGCTATGGAGTTAAAGAAGTTGCGACGGCGATGGGCGGAGACGGTGAAGAAGAAGAAAAAATGCCATGGAAGTGTTTCACACACAGTGAGTTAGAGGGAGATACTTCACTTTCCTTCTCCACTCAAAAAGTACTTTTAAAAATGACTGGATATGACTAATTTTTTTCAACATTTAAATGTTTATTTTTCTATTTAAATATTAAAATTAAATACTATTACTACTTTATTCTAAAAGAAAATGATAATTAACCATTTAAGAAGTTAAAATCATTTTGTCAATAATAAAATTTTCAATATATTTTTATAATAAAGAAAACGTAGGTTCTAATAATTACATCCAATAATCCTATATCAATAGATCTCAATAAATTCATATCCGCACATTATAAAGCTCTATTCTCATATACTCGAACATGGGCATCTAATTATAAGTTGAAGGATTGCATATTGTACACACTTAAAGGTATAAATTAATTATTATTTTACTAAATTGACTTTATTAACTATATTTTTAAAACAAAATTTAACTAGTTAATACTCTAATAAATTGAAAAAAATAATTACTTAGTAATAAAGGTAAAATTATAAATAAATAAATAAAAGATTTAGTTCTCTCTTGATATTATAAAAGATTTAATTATATTTTGTATACTAAATGAGAATTAAAACAAATGACTTATATAAAAATTAAGAAATTAATCTTAAAATTAAATGTATTGATTCTCCTACTCTATAGAGTCTAGACATCTTATTATATTCTTATACGAAAAGAGTAATATTATTAATGTGTTTTTTTTTTTAATGTTTGGAATGTTTAAGATAATTATTTAATTTTTCAATAAGAAACGGGGTTTCCAAAATAGAGATGAATTTCCCTAATAGGATTAAAATAATATAGTCTATAATATATAATTATATTTTAATTAAAGTTTGTTTTGGTTTTTTAGAAGAGAAAAAGGCTGCTTTTTGTATTTAGCTTGGATATGGGTGGCAGCTGGCAGACAACAAGAAAGTAGGGTTCACAACCCCATTAGTGTAGGGTAGTCGAATGCGGAGTTAGAATTTTAATTGGAAAAATTATTGAAATATACGTCTTATATTTTTCTTATTTTTAATATTCTTTTTTATTTCTAAAAATTTCTAAAATCCCTTATTTCTTTAATGTATCCGAGTCAATATTTAATGTATCCGAGCAATATATTATGTATCGTTTATTTTATAATATATTCGAACTAGTTTTTAATATATCCGAGCTACATATTATGTATTCGGTTTATGTTATAATGTATCCGAGATACTCTTTAATGTATCCGAGCTACATATTATGTATCTGATTTGTGTTACTTTTTAAAGAATTAATGTAATTACAAACTAAAGAGGGATAAATTGTAATTTCATATTAAAACTATGTGATTTCTAAAATTTACCCATTTCAATTTACGACATTTTAGAATTATGATGATGATTTTAAATAATAATAATTAAGTTTTAAATATAATATATTAACATAAATACACTAATTAAATGAAATTTATCAAATTCAACTAAACTCGTATGCGAATTACTAGCTGTGCTCTTGGAATAGCTAGGTGGTAGGTTGCTTCGGGATCTTGGAATAGAGGCCACTATTGTTGAATAGAGAATTGAATATTTTTTAATTACCTATTTTAGAATGTTTTCTTTTTTGGTAGATTGTTGTCTTAATTCTACTATTATTTCTAATGTCTTTTTTGGTTGATTGTTGTCATAATTAATTCTATTACTAGTATACATGTAATGATAAAAAAATTGCATTTTGTTTCTTGGGAATCAAATTAAGTACAAATAATTTAGTCATTATGATATTGTTTTCGTTTCAACATAGCAAAAGATATATAATAATTTGTTTTCAGTTAAGTCTCATTTTAATACTAATTAGAATTCTTCAATTTTGTTCAAAATAATATTTATCTGATTTTTATATGGTTAATTTTGAAACTCACGCTATTACATACAAAACTTCTTTATCTTGTGTATTTTTTTTTAAACGCTATCTCTAAATTACCATAGATTGATTTCGGATTATGTAGCTCTTAAGCATAAAATATATATTTAGGATATAGGATATAAAAAGAAAGATTAGTAGATTGAGGACCAAATAAATAATTTAAGGGCAAATGGACATTATAAAAATGCAATCATTTCATTAAGACAACTATAAAAGATTAAAACCTAAGGGACATTGATTAATCATGTTGGCAAACAGTAAAAACCAATTATAATGTCCAAGACTATTTTAATTTTTTTCACGTTGGTGTTGTGTTTGGTTATATATTTTTTTTAAAGATTAATTGCAATAATATTCATGTTTAAATTCAATTGCTTAAGGAGAAGTGAGATGAAAAATAGATTATATATTATTTTTAAATTGAATCAATTTTTTTACGATCAATCTAAATTAAATAAAAAATCATCTTAATAAATAAATAATTTTTATGATCAAATGAGTTTTAAAATTCGTATCGAGAATTATTCCAAATAAACCAAAATCTTGGGTAATGGATAAACACTACATAGGGCAAGAAAGGAAATTTTTTTTTTAGAGTAACTTTATTTCTCTTTTTTGTAAATAAAAGTCAAAAGATATCACAAAGAGTATATTCTCACATTTGGTCAAAACGATATTTCACATTTTAGGGTTTTAAGGGGAAGTGAGCCATGAAAATTCACAAAAATTCAACATTTTACCTATGCCATCAAAAAGACCATTCACTAATAAGCAATATGTTAAATTAGTGTAATTTCATTTCAACTTTTATCAAATACAGAAATTATAGTGTAATTCAAAACATTACAACTAGATAGATTTGTTAAATATACAAATCAAATCAAACTACATAAAATGTTTTTTTATATATACGTTTTCCCCGTATAAAATACACATCCAATTTATTCGATATACAATAGCTCCACCCAATATGAACAAAATTTATTAGATTCAATCGAAAACCACCAAGCGAACTATAGCTCCGGCAGTGGTTTCTTTAGAGGTATTAGTTTATGCTTACAGAATTTTTGTTTTATGGCAATTGTGAAACAGAACTTTTTGTAAATATATTAAGGTAGAAAATTTAAAAGGTAAATCTTCTTCATTACGATTAATTCTTAATCCAAGCTTTATGTTAATGAGATAAAGTACCCTTTTTTTAGAAGATTAATGTGAAAAGGAAGAAAAGAAACAAGAGACGAAAAAGGGGAGAATAAAATAGTGATTCTTGATTTTTGAAAGTGTGAATGTTATTTAAAGAATTTTAAAAAAAAAGGAGAAGTGAAAAGTTCGAAAAAATTGTGTGAGCCAATTCTTTTTTTCTCACATGTTTCTCTTTTTCTTTCTCACTTTTCCTCTTTTTTCTTATCTTTATTTTTTACAAAATTTTCAGATGCTTTTAATCTTCCTTTTAATTTTTTTTTAAAAAAATTGAGTTATACCCCTTGAGCAAAATAACGCAGCTAAAATTTTGAATCTATGGTCAGAAAAGACGATAGTATATGTATATTAGAATCTGAATAAGTTGTTTATATACATCAGTAGATTTTAGACATAAAAACAACATTTTAAGTCAAAATTACTATGATAAAACTATAACACCGCTCTACTCAAATGCTATAATACTTCCCATAGACATACTTCAACATGATATAATAGCAAATAGATGTCATAAGCAGAGGCGTATCCAAGGGGGTCACGAGGTTCACGTGAACTCATGCTCCCCTCCCGAGATCATATATAGTAGTGTTATATTTTTTTTTAAATATTGAAATATAGATGTGTAAACCCACACTTGGAGTATCACATAATGCAATAATGATTGAGTGCACCTCTTTACGTGAGGTTAGAAATTTAAATTTTATATTTATCTTGTTTTATTTTTCTTTCTAAAATTATATAACACTTCTCTAAGTGGTAATTGGTAGCACTTTTGACATTTTAATTAATTCTCCATATATATATATAGTAAAAACCTAAATGTCGAATCAATTAAATTTATATCTTAGATCAACCTTTTTGTAATAGCGCACCCATCATCTCCTGGACTGACTCATAAGTTGAGTTTAATTGCCATCATTATTACTAGGGAATTGTTAATTTTACTTGTACATTATATGACACAAGAGTTGAAGGACCCAAAATGTTAGTCACTATAATAAAATTACTATGTGTATAGTTGAAAAGAGTCTAAATATAGCAAGGTCAACAAAGTAAGGCTGGTAATGTGTCTCTTTAAACTATGTAATAAGGACCACATTGCGCACTGTTTTTCAAGTACAAATTGATCTTTGTTTAATACTGGCTAGACTAATATTATTTTTCTTAACGGTCGTAAAACTGTTTAGGAACAACATAGTACATGCAGTAAACAAAACAAAGAGATTTCTTATAGCTGCAACAAAAATTAGTTAAATGTATATGTATTGTTCTTTTAAAAAAATTGGTTTAGGGAGAGGCAAATAGAGTATAGATAGTGTGTATAGGGCTGCAATCCATAGAAAATGATGGAACTATAATACTATTCCCTTCCCTTCCTAAAAAGGTGAACACAAAGGGGGACCCTTTTTTCTTTGCTCTTTGCTTCAATTTCATTTGTCAGGATTTACATTATTCCAATCTCCACTTGGTGCAACCACTTTTTTCTTGCTTTGGGCCCTGCTCCCTCCCTCTTTTACTTCAATTCAATGCACTCTAGTCTATGGTCATGAGTCATGACTATCGAAAAACTTACTCTCGATATTTACACCAAAGTAATATATCGATGTCAAGAGTTAAACAAGGTAGGGTTTTTTTAGTTTTCCATAGCTATGAATAGTATTTTGAGGTACAAAAGTTGTTGTCATGATGAAGCATTGAGTTATCATATCTACCAATTCGGTGGTACAATAGTCAAATTAAATACAAAAGGATGATGCAAATAGATATAAAGAAAGAGAAGAGTATCTAATATATCTAATAGAAAAAAGGAGACAACAACCATGCAAGTGTTTCCCCACCCAACAAGGGCCAAAAACAACACAATTCCCTTCTCATAGGCCCTACCACGTTTTAGATTTTGCCAAACAGCTAGCAAAAGAGGATCTACCCTTTCATAATCAAACATCAACTCCACCTCAATCCGAAACAAGCTGGGTTCGGCTATATGAACTCTCATTGCACGCGCCGCTCAAACTCATTTCAGTCCAACATTATATAAAATAAAAATAAAAAATATCCGGAGAAGATCTTCCCCTTTACGTCGAAACAAATATATGTATACATGCATTCACACTAAGATCGTCCCTAATGCACCTAATTAGGAGCCAGAACTGGTTGAGACCCTTTCAGTACCTGAAACCCTTCTAATCCTGACAGTTGACAACTGGTAAGAAGCTTTCCATTCATATTCTGATGACCTGAGATTGGAAAGAGTGATTTTGTCTAAAGATAGGATCCTCTTCTCATGTGGATGTTGCAATGGAGGTATTTGTTGTAGGATGTGTTTTAGGAAAACCAAATTCCTTGAACAAACCCTGAAGTATAAGACCAATTTAAAGATGAAACACAATTAGTCGAATACTCCTGGAAGAGTCTGGAACTAATTACATAGTTTAATGTAGCTGAGATATAAGCATACCATAGCATCATTGATTGCATATGTAACACAATAGTGCTCCTGCAATTGGGTTTTAAATTATTTATAAAAAAAAACGAATGAAAAGGAGCATTATACAAGATAAATAAGGTATGCATTTTTTTATCAGTATAAAATGAAGCATTTTCCCCGAGCATATAAGTATGCACTTTTTTATCAGTATAAAATAAAGTAGCATTTTCCCCATCTTTTTTAGTCTTTCAAATACTCCCTCAAGTCCTTTCTTACTTAACCTACTACTACCTTTTTTGTCGATACCAATTTACTTCACCTCTTCTCATAGATCATAGATGCTAAAATTTTGCCAGATCCTACAGTCCAAACTACCACAACACTACTACTTTATATAGTTGTAGCTTTAATATAACATGTTTTCAACAAACAATACCAGTTCTCGAAAACTTAAGCAGTTCTCTGAATTACTCCGACACGATGAAATATTCCACTTTGTGCTGTTTTTTTTTTTTTTGAAACTGAAGAGGAGAAGTTTTCACTTCTGTTTTTTTTTTTTAATCTCCAATTAGTCGAACAGGGTCTACATGATGAAAGGAGTATCAATTTTTGTACTCTCATTCCCAAATTCTCTTGATATAATCCAACTATTTACAGGTTCCCAAGTTACATAATGCAAATATATTGCTGTGACAGATTAAGAACTTTTAATCAATCAAAGTCACTTCACCAAAAGGCAGGTCAGCAAATGACATAAAAGGCAGTAAGCCCATCTCGGATTTCTTTGTTTTGATTGGTAAAAGGAACTTTCAGATACTACATCACTTAACTTTGTTATGGAATAACGTAATACAGAAAGGTTGTCTTAAGACTAAAGGAGAATATAGATGTAGGCAAATAAAAAATAAAAAAACAAAAGAAAGAGCAGCATCTTGATCCTTGAAAACATAAGGTCAAGAAAAGGCAAGCCTTGGGAAAGGGCCAATCAAAATAAAGCAGCCTGCATTTTGCATCATGGCGTCTACATTATCTAGGGTTATAGATCGTAAATACAATATGAGGCCAAATGCCAGATATACTGGTCAGAAACTTGCGATACAAAAAAACAACAAAGCTGGAACAAAGTGCTCAACTTTCATGGTGGTATAGAATGCAAGCACACTGAAATATATTTTGCAGTCAAAAGCAGAAGAGAAACTTACCTGCATCATATACCACTCTTCAAATTCATCAAATATTTCCAATCTTTCAATCCTGTCCAGAAAATTACATGCAAATATTTGAGGACTGCAACATTTTTTTTTATTTTTTTTTT